TTAAGAGAAATCTGTTCTTGGAAGCGATTTCGATTTCGATTTTATTCCATGCAAATAAGCAGTGACCGGACGTCGATTTCGATTCGACGACGTGAATTCTGAGAGGAAAAAAAGGTCGGAAAGTTCCTCCAAGCTTCGAAATAAGAGTGAAGCCCAGTAGTTAGCGCCTTAGCGCTCCAGTAGTTAGCGCCTTAGAGAGCGCTCCAGTAGTAAGCAATTTATTTATTTTATGTTAAGAGAAATCCGTTCTTGGAATCGATTCTGATTTCGATTTTATTCCATGTTAATAACTAGTCTCCGGAAATCGATTTCGTTTCACCGATCCGATTTCTCAAAAAGTGAGCAAAAAGTACTCCGAAAATAGGAAATAATTCGATATAAAATAGTTCCTTTTTGGTTCCAGGTGGAAGTAAGTGACAGCTTGAGGTGCAGGGTGTAAATTAAGACTATCGTTCCACACGTAGAGCTGTGTATATTTTGTACTTAAAAAAAGCTGTCACGTCTTACAACGCACCGAAACCCGTACTGTAAATAAACTGACTCGTCACCCCAACCCGGATGATGCATCTGCCGAGGAAGCTTAAAAATCAAAAATCTCCGTGATTAAGAAACAAAAAGAATCCTTTTGTTTCGTTATGGGTAACGTGGATAATTCATATCTGACGCACGACTAACCGGGGAGACGCAACAATCTAGAGGTGTGCCGAGGGCGAAGGTTTCTTCAAGTCGTCGTACAACTAGTAAGAACGACGCTAGGTACGTACTACTTGCTCAATTTTTACCACCTCTGATACTACACCTATTCCTAATAGTACTACAAATACCTAATGTGCATTCTTACTGCTACTAGTACAAGGTACTGGCATCAAAAAATTTACAAAATAAAATTATCACAACAAATGGATCATCGTGATTCTGTGACAAGCCAATAGTAAGAATACCTAAATCTTCTTACTACTAGAAGTAGTAGATTAGTGAGTGAACAGCAATCACCACACTCACCACTCTTTAATCATAGTACTAGAAACATCCCTTTATGTAACACTAGTAACAAGGAGCTTTTGTATATTTTGCAGGTTATGAGCAACAAATAGATTTACCTCAGCTCATCAACCATCATCAGCAACAACAAGAACATAGTCTAGTAGTGGTCAAGTGCTGGCCTAGTAATTTACTCCTCGTCCTGTCCTCAATCAGGGAGTGCAAAGAAACACCATTGACACCATTTTCCGAGTTCAGCATTTTCCCCAGCACATTTTTTTGAAAATTCCAGAAGAGAACCCAGTACTAAATCACATAGAAACCTCCCAAGGTACAGCCTTCTCTGAGCACTGGTGCTGTGACAACAGCAATCACAACAATCCAGAACACTAAACTCTGGATAGCCGCCACAACAACAAGATACATTTAATTCCCCACATGCCAAATGCCCACATGGATGAAGCATGCCCCACTCATCAAAGAAACCTTGCAGTCAGAGGCCTACCCCTTGCAAGAAATCAATGCAGTCAACACCACAAGAACAACTGCAAGAACAGTAGAGGAAGGACAAACCACAGGAACGAACAACCTCTCCAATGCAAAAATTTCTGGTACAAGGAGAACACACACCACAAAATTGGAATTCAAATAGTACCATTGTTCCATACAACAAGAAGAACTATGGACCCTAGAACTGATCTTCCCAACAGATTCAGATGTCAGCATATACGATGGCGATCTCTTCCCCTTCAAACCAAAACACCCACCACACCCCAATAACTTTGCCAAAAACCTCCACAAAATCCATGCAACAACATTCATCATAAACTAATAGCCATGGGAGACAACCTGAAGAACCTTCTCTACCTGAACCACTTCCAAATACCACCAAAGGACATACCAACAGCCTCCTTCTCTAGATACAAGTATAGTAACATATTCCTGACATATGGACACCATTCTTCCTTGTAATCAGGAAACCCCTCCACTGGCTATTACAAGAAGCCGTCACCAATCCAGACCACCTCCACATCTTGTAAGCTCTCCCTCCACCACAGGAACTGTAGTATCCAAACCAGAGGCAAATGCCACACCCCCCACCTCCCTGGCACTGGCCCCCTCGCCAGATCTACAAGAACAATTTGCAGGAATTTCTTTCAGCACCACCAGGGCCTGCTGAAACTTTTATCGAGGAGCACAACCACCAGGCATTACAATGAGTGAATGCAAGAACCTGTAGCAACAACCTTTACTACTAACAAAAACCTGTAGCAATCTCCTGTTATAACCTTTTTCAAAACACACCTCATAATTTGTTGCACCCCTTCAACCTTCCATGTAACTCAGCGTTGGTTGCATTGGAAACAAAGAGAAACAAGGAGAAACAATATTCTTTTAGTTTCTCTTTGTTACAACAATGAGAAACAGTGAGAATATTGCCATAAACAAGGATAGAAA